AAAAGCTGGGCAGACGAGGTGCTTAGGGACAGGGTTTAGTGGTGGGATGGCAGGGTTAGGGGAACGGTTGGACTTGGTCTTAAAGGTCTTTTCCAACCTAAACAATTCTATGATTCCCATGCCCCCTGCAGAGGGTTTTCTGAGGATCATCTCCAAGGGAAACCATTTGGATCCCATGGCTTGATCCTTTTTTTCTGGCCACGTTACAGCAGTTTTAAGGTTTCTGTGACGGTAAGTGAAGAGCTCATCAGTGGAGTTGAGGGTGTCATTCCTCCAACCCAGTGTTGACACCTACTGTAAGGCGAGCAAATACCCCCCCCCCCCATCAACATCACTGTTGAGTATAAAGATGATGTGCTGGAGTATGTCCAGCCTAGATCTTTGTCTAGGCTACAAGTTAGGCAGGACTAGCTGTTTCTTTAAACCTGGTACAGTCCTTGAAACCAAAGACCTGCTTAAATGATTTGGTGCTAAAGGAAGCTGAAGGGCTGGACAAGAGCTGTCTTCTGAGATCACGGCTGCAAGCAAAGCTGTAAAATTCCCTGCAGAGTTGGTTGGGTTTTTTTTTCCCTGACTCCAAAGAAAAAAGGGGAGAGGAGGCAGGGAAAGGTGTAATTCAGATGCAATGCTCTGGAGCACATCTTGGGTGGATGCTCTCCATGTGGTTGGAGGCTCGTCCCCCTTGAGCAGCTGGGCCTCTGAAAGCTTGCTAGGAGCGAAAGGAGAAAAAAGGTGTGGACCACGGTATGCTGAAGCTCAGCTCTGTGGGCAGCCACTGCTGGCAGATGTGCAACCTTCGCTCGGATCTTCCGTGGGCTTTCAGAGCAGGCTGAGCCGTGCTTTGGGCTGGGGCTTGCTGCGATGCAGCCGGGATGCGCTGGGACCGCCTGCCTTCTCCTGGCTGCTCTGTGTGACAGGACCCCTCACCGGGGAGGGGGGGGTGTCTCCAATTTTAAGCTTAATCGAGGTATGTGCAATAATTCCTTTCTAGGCGTGCGTGCAGACGTGCGAGGCTTTAGGGCAATGCAAGCATCCTGGGGGCAGGGATGACCCATGCCCTCCAGGAAAGCCCGAAGCCACAAGATTTATTTTATTATTATTATTTTTTTAATCTCCAGCAATCTGGCCATCTCCTTGACCCAAGCAGAGACGAAACACTCCTGCCTTATTTTAGGGCAGGGAGCATGCGTAGCCTTGCGGAGTGTCCCGCAAGGGCGCGGGGGCTTCGATAACGCCGCCAGCGGTGGGGGGCTGAGATTCCCTGTAGCCACAACAGCAGCGCTGCTTCCCCGGGTGGGCAGGGGCTGTTTTGAAGCAGTGATAACCTTGGCCTTGTGGGGGGAGTAAAGGGGGGAGGCTTTACCCCCCAGAACATAGCTGCAGGCAGCATTTTCAAGGCTGTTCTGCAAGAAAATACCCTCTCCAAAAAACCTTTGCTCCTTTTTCTGCGTGCAGGGGGAATGATGGGGCTTGTATCCTGCTGGCCATGCAGGCGGGGGAGGTTATGGGCCAATGCCATCCTGGGCAGCAGCCTTTATTTTTCTACCATGTGATGCATTTTGTAGCATCACAGAGAGATGTTCCTCGAGGCAGGGTGGCCGTAAAGGTTATATTTGACAGCAGGAACATTTCCCCACTCCCAGTCAAGTCCCATCTTCATTAAATAAATAAATAAATAGATAGATAGATAGATAAATAAATAAATAAGTAGATAAATAAATAAATAAATAGAAACTCCAGCTCGCTGCTGGCAACCGAGGCTAGAGAACTTGTGATTGCTATAAAAAAAAAAAAAAAAAAAAAAAGGACAGACCAGTCACGCTGGCTGACTCAGCTCTGATTGATGGCTCAGGAATGTGTCTGATACGTGCAAGGGATTAAATAAACCACGGGCAAACCTTTACAATGCAACCCATCGGCTGGGGCGCAGCCGGCACCCCGCTCACCTGCCTCCGGCTGGGGAGGGACTGCCACCATGTCATGGGGTCTGAGGGGGCTTTTTTTTTTTATTTCCACCTGTGAGAAAAAAACTAAAAAGGAATGGATGTTTTGGGGGATTGCTTTGCAGGAGGAAACAGCTTGCTGCTTGTGGGTCTAATGGGAATTATTTGCAACAGCTCCAGGTATCTAAAGGCCTTTTGCTAGCACAAAGACATCCTGGGAAGGCATCTATTTCTACTGAAATCTGGAAAGTTTATTTTGCAGCTGTGCACAGGCCTGTGTAAATCACAGTCTCGCTGCTCCATGCCTTAAACCCTGCTAGGCGTCAGGGTACCTTCCCTTG